GTTGCAATCCTACTCATTGCCCTGCTCCCTCCTCGCAGGATCCTGAACTCCACCATCTCATGGTCACTGCAGCCAAGGCTGCCCCCAACCTTCACCTCTCCAACTAGACCTTCTTTGTTCGTTAGTACAAGGTCTAGCAGTGCACCTCTCCTCGTTGGCGTCTCCACCACCTGTGTCAATAAGTTATCCTCAATGCTCTGCAGAAACCTCCTGGATTGTTTGTGCCTAGCTGTGCTGTCTTGCCAACAGATGTCAGGGTGGTTGAAGTCTCCCATGAGAATCAGGACCCGTGATCATGAGGCTACTTCCAGCTGTCTGTAGAAGGCCTCATCTACTTCCTCTTCCTGATCAGGTGGCCTGGAGTAAACCCCCACAACAGTGTCACCCACTTTAGCCTGCCCCTTTAATCCTTAGCCAGAAGCTCTCAACTTGCTCTTCATCCACCCCGAGGCAGAGCTCCATACATTCTAGTTGCTCCCTCACATAAAGGGCAACTCCACCACCTCGCCTTCCTGGCCTGTCTTTCCTAAAAAGCACGTAGCCATCCATGCCAGCATTCCAGTCATGTGAGCTATCCCACCATGTCTCTGTAACTGCAACAAGATCATGGCCCTGCGATTGCACACAGATCTCTAATGCTTCCTGCTTATTCCCCATGCTGTGCACATTGATGTACAGGCATTTCAGGGAGCCAATCAAACACGCAGGCTTCTCAGGAGAGGTGCAAGAGATCCTCCATAGCCACATCCTGTGTGCACATGCCACAAATGTGGCCACATGCCACATATGCATATTTTACCTAAACCTACCTCATTTCTCTTCTGTTGCTTTTTATCTTCTCTTGTTATTTCACAGCTACATTCTAGGTTGTAAACATTCCTGGACAGAAACCGTTATCTTACTGTTTTGAGCAATACCTATGCAACTTTCAGGTAAATGTGTTCATATTCTACTGCAAATCTGCACTTACCTCAGTAAGAAAGGTTATAATTAGACAAATAGTAATAGGAAGACAGATTGCAGATCCCTTAGTCATAATGCTGAGCTATTGCTCATGTGAGCTGTTACAAAGATCAGCCACCAACTGGATGACTCGTGTGAAAAACTGAGTGGTGAGGACTTCAATCTGGTCCATTATCACTATGTAATGTTGTGCATTTTTGTAAACTGTTCTAATTCAGAGGCCTTTTTGGTGCAAATGTTTCTTTGTATAGACTCTGCTGCAGTAATAGATTCACTTCCTAACAGGAACACACCAGCAGGAGACAGTGCAACAGCTTGTATGAGGGGATGTATACAATAACTAATTAATTCTAATCTTTTTCTAAGTTTAATCATGCAGATCATGAATATCCAAATATTTACATGCAAGTTTCAGCATTTCCAAGGGATCTGCAAATATATGCCAAATAATAATGCGTTTTAGTCCTTCCAAGTTACGCATATCCTCTCCTTTATGTAGTACTGACACTCTTTTCCAAGCCATTCCCCTTAAAACTGGAGGATTACCCAGTAAACTGTTTCTGAACTTTGGGCATTAGTTGTGTCCTTTGACCAGCATGTCCCCTCCTTGGGACATGCTGCCTCCTTGGCCCTGTAGCCCAAGGAAAAAGATTCCCACCCAAAGGACCCATTCCAGGGCAAGAGAAATACATGGTGGATGCCTAGACAAAGAAGCACTGAGCAAGTTGCCAGTGCTTTTCCATGGCAAGTTGCCATGGAAATAGGCGTGGAGCTGGACTCAGCACGCCTGAAGTCCATGCATTAACGTTTCTGGCTTCAGCCTTATGGTGTTTTTATTCTGCCACAGGTTGTTTCAAACTCTGAGTAAGGCTTGAGAATAGGTAGTCATTTGTTTCTATGCTGGTGTGATTACTTCTCTTCCCAAACTCTCACTTCTCATCCCGCAGATCCACAACCACATCTATCTGTAGGGCACTCATTTACCTTTACAGCTCCTGTTAAATGACTCTTCCTTTGAGTTTTACTTTTCCCTTCTCAGATGAATTGATACCCATCCCCTTCATTTGAATCTCACTGATATGGACAGTCTCTTTATGGATGAAGAAATCTTTCCTCCCACTTAGTCCCCATCCCCAACTCCCTTTCCAATTAAAATTTTTGACCCTTTTTGCAGTTCGGATTTCCAAAATTTCCTTTTATTTTCCAAAATCTTTGTGTTAATCTCATCGCCATTAGCTTACCTGTGCACCTCACATAGCTATTCTCTGAACACCTAATTAGTGGCATCACCATAGCCTCCCTACTTCAGCTCCCACTTAAAACCTCCTTATGCTGACTTGCCTACTTCAGTACGACTTCTGTGGCCTCTGCTACACCGTTGCTGGGAAGGCAGCCGTCACACTGGGTGAGCCAATGTCCACCACTGCAGCAGAAGCCTGGACCATTGTGTGGTCTGTAATGGGCAGACAGGGAGTCATGCCACGCTCAGAAAGTGTACGCTGCTCACAGAAGTGTTCCTGCTTTCCTAAGAGAAGTTGACACACTAAGTGAAAACAACCATGCAGGCTCATTTAGGCCACAAATCGAGCTACAGAATACATGTACACAAGTTGAGCTCAGAATACATGTACAAGTATTGCCACTTAGCCAGGCAGCCAAATATGAACACGCTCTTTCTCCTATACTGTTTGAGCCTCTGCTGACTCTGGTACTTTTAAGTCCATAGCGACAGCCCGCCCTGTCCTGTTCCAAGAGATGCATAGCCAGGCTGCCAGCTATTTCTTCTGCTGTTCCTCTTGGTCATCATCCTTACATCCTTTGCTGGGATTTTTCCTGATCTTATGATAAAATATTCTAGGATGGACTAAATATTCTTACTCAACTGTTGCTGATGGATCAATATTTTTAAGAGTTTGAAAAGGGCAAGAATGTATTTAAAAAGCAGTTTATTTTCAAACAGGAAATAGCAGAGCTAATTAATTCAAAAAGATGAATGAATCAATTGGCATTAAAAAAAGATGCTGCTCATGTTAGAAACTGATCATCAGTCATTTTATTTTATTTTATTTTTCATAATCGTTTGCCTGAAAATAAATATTTTGTCTATCACAGGCTTTTTAGAAAGAAGCAGTGAGTCAGAGAATGGCGGGATTTTTCAAGAGGAGCTTAATCTGCTGGATGTCTTTTTGGGCAGTGATTCATCCTTGCCCACACAGTGCAGAGCAAGAGCAACTCATCACTTTGGACTTTCCATTTCTACTACAGCTAACAGACGTCTCAATATGCTTTACACTTTCTTATAATGCTGACAGTCTCCTTACATCCTCACAGAAATTACGCACTTGTACTATCAATACAGTGCAAATGCCCACGTGTGTCTGATCTAGAAATAGTGAAAAATGGCTGGGGAGGAGAGAGCAGTGTGAAAATGGTGAATTTTCTTTTCATTTTTATGTACTGAATTTTTTTTTTTGTGATAGCAGTTCACTGCAATGGGATTTTTTTCTTTTCTTTTTTTTATTCTTTCTCTTCCCCTCTCTTTTTCACTTATACTAATGAGTGCAACCAGCTCTCATTAGTTCCAAGATATTTTCTCTAAAACTTTATCTTTTTCCTCATTTTGCTAGCTTTGAACTCTATCCAAAACTAACATTTTGAAATTTACATGGCATAGAATCAAATAACGTCAAAACATCCCTTAATCCAGTAAGTATTTCAAATTTTGCTGAAGAGTTGGAAAGTGACACCATGGAATAAAAAAGGACAGTCCCCTCAGCCCCAGCTCTTGATATCACATGTTGAACAAAATTCAGGAGCAAAAGAAGAAGAATAAGGGAAGGAAAAGCACCCCATAGATGAAAATTCATCAGCTGTCAAATTTCAGGATTTCGGATTTCAAAA